GAACATGAGGAAGAGGCTGGATAGGAGTCGGAAGAAGATGGAACCAAGAAGAAGGAATGTGGGCCTCTGGCGATCGATTGGGGGTACGGTGGGACAATGGCACTTGGGAATTGGATAAGAAAAGCTAGGGAGACCCGGATGAGGGGTCTGAAAACAACTCTCATCTGGGAAAGGAAAAGCAAACCATCTAACCATGATGGGGCCGTGTGGTGCTCTCATGTGGAAAACAGGGTAAGCGCAGGGAAAACAAAATGGCGCGATGGTTGTCGCCTCCTGTCTACTCCAGTGGTCCGGAAATGCCTATAGAGGTAAGGGATGGGGTATTTGTTGTTCTCCCGGAAGAAGGGACGTGGACTGACCTAGAACCAGCCTATGAAACCGTGATGCTGGACAAGAAGGACGCGTTCCTATGGATAGAGACAATCTGGACCAAGGTCAGCCTGACAAGACTCTCACCCAGCTTGATGGACCAAGAACTCCGGGGAACGGTGGAGGCCCGAGGGTGGATCTACCTGTCTCAAGAAATGGAAAACGCAATGGTAGTGGCACTAGTATTGGGCACGGCACCGGATCAGTTATTTAGGCAAGCGGAACGGGAGGTGGTGTGGGATGCATGTCAGCGGGCAGAAATGGAGATGGAGAGGATGGAGGTGCGAGTGGAACTCGGGGACCGGAAAAATATGAGACGCCCCCTTAGGACAATGAGATGTGTGCTACCCCCGTTTCTGGTGGATGCAGTCTTTGGGACCAGGGGTAGATTGGAGCGGATATGCCGGTCAATGACGCACCTGAGGTTGTACCAAGGTGCTAGGCAGGACTTCTTTAAATTGTCGGTGGAAGTAGGGCCGTTCGAAGGAAACTGGGGGGAAGAATTGGCTGAGGTGTTAAACCTCCTCAGTGCGGACGAAATCTATGTTCCCAGCCCGGTGCATTGGCAGATAGTTTACCGAAACGTGGCAGCAGGGGAAACCTTCTTGGAAGGGGTGAAAGAGATGTTCCTAGACGAGGAGGAGGATTTCAGTGATGAGGAGGACGGGGACGAGATAGAGGACTGGGACTTCTGAGGGGGGCTTACCTGGGAAAAACGGGTTGTCGGCTATGTGCAGGTAGGGAACGATGGCTCAGGAACTCGAATTGTGGGACTGCACATGGGAACCAAGACGGACCGGAAGGGGAGTAGAGATGTCGATACCCCCGAGTAATGAATGGAAAGGGACCACATGTGATTGGCGGGGGTATGAGATTGTGCTGGAACTATCGTACCTTTGGATAGAGCGTATCTGGAATCCGTTGAGGGAAGGGGAAGGTTGGGAGGAGATTGCGGAAGGAAGGGTGGAATCAGGTGGGACGATTGTTCTCTCGGAACAGGGCTGGCACCTGTTCTGCACGACGCTCGCTGCAGGGCAGAACCCGATGTGGCTTTTAGGGGACGCTGAGGCAAGGGCTCGACAGACGGGGGAAAGTTTTGCTAATAAAGGGTGGGATATGGTGAACAGTAGAGTCGTGATGCGAGGATGGAAGGAATTTAAACCGCCCGGCGCCCGAACCAAGACCTGGGTACCCGAATTCGTGGCAGACTGGTTTGGGGGGTTTTATCATGTAACAGAGGTAGCCGGCACGATGGAGCGAATACATGTGAATTGCACTTGGCTGGCAGGGGAATTCTATAGGACATCCTTGAAATACGGACCCTTCCACGACGACAGAGTCTGGGAGGTCCTTATCATTTTGGACATTGAAAGGAATGACCGACAGAAGGTAGCCCCGGAAACTAGGGAGGCCATAATCTGCCGTGAGGTAGCAGCAATACCTTGTTATGTGGATGATGTGTTCAAGTTGTTCGAGGTACTGTGGTTCGATTAAGCGTCGGAAAGCCGTGGGGTCAGGCAAATATGGGGAAATTTGCTTAGATAAGGGAATGGGATGTCTGGCCATTGTAGGGTTCAGTGCGGATCACGGGCCAGGAGAATAGAGGCGAGTGTGCGATGGCGCGAAGAAGAACGTTCCTTGAGGAACGCCCCTTGGGCATTGAACCGCCTAGGGAAGTACAGGGTGGAGTAGAGGTTAGCTTGCCAGCGGCAAGTGAAGGCTGGCACCGGGTGGCGGATTGGGTCGGGATCGAGCTTGCAGAAAATATGATTTACTTGGTGACGAAAGTTGAGTGGCGTGCGGCCGAGAATGGGGAATGGAACCCAGACCCACGGGGGCACGTGCGAGCAGAAGGGCGGTTGTATGTGTCGAAAAACGGATGGAGGGAGTTCAGAGTTCGGCTCGCATCATGAGAAGACCCGTTAAGCATGTTTGAAGGGGCATGGCAGTTAGTATGGCAAGCGGGATTGGAGTTCGCAGATCCGGGGGTTGACGATGTAACAGCGGACCTTAGGGTAGCCATGGTTGGGAGTTTTGAATTGCCTAGTGAAAGTGTACGAATGAGGCTTCCACCCTTCTTGTTGGAAAAACTGGGCGGTTTTGAACTTGTTAGACAAGCAGTAGTCGATCTCGCAAGCCTGACATATGAAGAGGTGATGGTACATCGAGAATACTACCGGGCCTTCTTAGAAATGGGGCCGTTCAGCAGAGAGCAGAAGTACGAGGTGTTGCGCATCTTGCGTGCTGTGTTTAGTACCAGCCCGAGGGTTCCGGTCGTGGGAAATGAGGTCCTGTGGGACATCGTCCGACGGGAGATAAACCAAGGAATGACGTACGTAGATGATCTGTACCGATTATATGAGCAGACGGAGGAGGGGACAGGTCGGTAATAGGGGCAAGGAGAGGGGAAAGAAATAGAAGGGGAAAAGAAGTGTCAAGCTAGGAATCGGGAAGTTGTCCGGGCAAAAAATTGAAGACCAAGGGGAATAAGTAAATTTGTGTGCTGTTTAAAACTGTGCAGGGGACTTATAAGTCGGAAATGGCAATGAGACGCGCCCGGATGCCGCGGCGACCCATGCACCCGCGACCACCCACGGAAAACGGAGGTGGATGGGAGGTGTCGCTCCCAGTAGGCTACGCGATTCAAGGATTGGATGCTGAATGGAGAGCCGTGACCCTGGGAAGAGGACAGGCGTTCATGATGATGGAATGTTTGTGGGATGGTATGAGGATTAACAGGGGACCGGGAGACGACCTGTATACGGATCTTAGGGTGACGGGGACTGTATACCTGTCAGAGCTCGGATGGCACATGTTGGGGACGAAATTGGCACTAGGGCATGGGTTGTTGTCAATCTTCCAAAGGGTTACTAGGGTACTAAACCGGGTAGGCCAGAAAGTGCGAGGGAGAAGAAATGTGGGGTTAAGGACTCGGGTGGAGGTAGGAGGTTGGCGAGAGTTTAAGGCCCCAATGACCGGGCTGAGGTGCCGAGTACCTTGCTTCATGGTAGACCTGGTATTCGGCAGCCTCAAGAGGGCAAGGGAGTTGGTGGACTCGACCCTGGTCTGGATCCACCTCCTCCGACCATAAACAACGAGCATGTTTTACGATGTGTCGGTCAGACATTCTGGGGGAATCAGGCCTGGGAGCTACTCGAATTACTTGAGATTCTGATATTCGGATTGCCCCACCTGTCATTTGAAGAATATGAGCCAATAATTCTCAGGGAAATAGAGATGGGGGAAAATTACCTTGCGGGGGTGGCGGACTTGTTCGAGGAACCGGATGAGAAGGGCAGGCCTGAGGGACCAGCATGAGAAAAACATGTCAGGGCGAAGTAGGGAAATAAAGAATGGGTACTAAGATAAGTAGGAAGCCATCAGCAAAAGAGAGGCAGTGGTTGGAGTTCCGGCCGACCCAATGATGCGGCAGGGAGGAACTAGGAAGACCACCCGCTCCAAAGATTCTGGGGCAACTGGATGCCAATAAGCCGAAAAGGCCATCCCCGATAGGAAAGCCACTGGGCTCAGGTACCGCCCTAAGAATCAAAGCGGGGCAATAATGAAATGTCAAAGCGGTGGCGGCAAGGCTCCGGTAGAAGAAAACCTGAAGGACGCCCCGGGAGAGAAAAGTCAGAAGAGTCGTACTGATTAATGTAAGACGCAAAAATATGGGAATAGGCGGGTTTTAGGGACGGGACTAGGGCAGTTATGAAATATCGGCCGCCTTTTCGCAATTTTTTTTATTTTTTTTTTCCATGTGCAGGCTAGGTAAAGAAATGGCAACGGAGGAAGGGATCGATGACCTGTAGAGCGGAGGGAATCAGGGCACGAATGGGAATGGGGAACGAAACGAGGGATCAGCCAGGGATCGAGAGTCAGCCAAACTGGAGGGGACCCGAGAAGACGGAAAGGACGTCTCAATTGGAGAAAGCTCAGGGAAAGCAGGGGGTAGCAAAATGGGACCTCAAGAAAACAGGGAAGGGGGAAACGATATGAGAACAAGTCCTCGGAACTCAGCAGGAGCCACCCCTAAAAAGACGAAAGTCTTGGATACCAGTCATAAACTGGCAGAGATAGAGAAGCGGACCGCGAAATTTAAGGCAAGACTTATCGAGCAGATGATGGCGCGGATGAGGAGGACCTCAAGGACGCAGGGTCACGTGAGCGATGCAGGGCCGGTCAGGGCGAGGCTAGGTATGAGGGGAAGGATGATAGTCACAAAGGAACGCCTAGCAAGAAGGGGAAGGACAAGAGCGACCCCTCGGCGGAAAGAACGGAAAACGCTATGACCCCACCCGCCATTGACATTAGCACTAGCAGACTACCCGCCACGCCGAAAGTAACAGGGGCGTGTGACGGGCTCTGGAGCCTTAGGGAGAGAGTGCTAGGATGGTTCGACCCAGAAGGAACACCGAAAACCAGGGAGAAGCAGAGGGAAAGCAAGGAAGGGGAAGGAGCCAGTGTAGCCGGGGAAGCGGGTGGCTCCGAAGACGGTCTCAAGAAAGTAGTCGCCACCCTCAACAGGACATTGAACAAGAACCAGGGGTATCTTGCAGATGCAAAAAAGAAACTCACGTTCGATGGGGCCAACATTACGGAGTTTCTGATAGACTATGAGAACCTAGCAGCGTTACTGAAATAGACGGAAGAGGAAAAGATGGAGCACCTAGGACAGCACGTATCGCTAAGTTTGGGAAGGGACATTATGGCCATCGTCGCCTCCGGTGGATCCTGGAAAGAGACCAGGAATGAGATGATGAGGAAATACCTGAAGGCAGAAAAAATGGCAACAGAGGCAGAATTAGCCGCAGTCCATAGGAAAAACTATGCGACCTACAACGATTTCCTGAGGGCGTTAACGTTAATGGCTCTGCGAATTCCCGGGGTAACTTACCGCATAATGAGTAAATACTTCCTCAGGCAGTTCTCCGAGTTTGATAAGGATAAAATTTTGTCAGCATACCAGCAGACCAGTAAGTTCGAATACACGAGAGATGTGGATTTCAGCACCGTAACAGACCTTGCGGAAAAGACAGTGGTTACCGAGACGCTAGCCCTACTTAAGGAAGGGGAGGTCATAGATCTGACCGGGAACACAGGGGATAAGGTCAAGAAGGGGATAGAGAGTCTACACGAATGGGTGCACGGGGTTGATAGCAAGATGGACATAATGGAAAATGCATTGTTAGTAATGCAGGCGCAAGTGTCCAGACCCGCCCTCCCGCCCCAAGAGGCCGTGGTTCCGGCAGCTGTAGCAAACCGGGGGTTTGGCAGGAGGGACCTGACCAACGAACAATGCAAGTATTGCACCATGATCGGACATTTCGTACGGGCCTGTCCGAGACTCAATCACGATATCGAGCGGCAGAGGTGCAGTAGGTCCCTCAAAGGCGAGATCCTCGGACCCAGGGGGGAGCATGTCAATTGGAACTCGCCAGGAGGGATGCGGCGAGCCGTCATTCTCCTGAATAACCTAGAAATAGTTGTCGTAGAAGCAGAGCCGATAGCCGAGATTGTTTGGGACCAGCCAAGGGGACGGGGACCACAGGCCAATTTTATCCTAGAAGGCAATGGCCAGGATAGGGTGAATATCACCACTCGCCGAGCTGGCGCAGAAAAAAAGCTTGTTCAAGATACAGTAATGGAAGAACTCGCAGGGACTACCACGGGCCAGCAAGAGATCGAAGTCGGGGATCAAGAGAAGGTCTATGAGAAACTGAGGGAGGAGGAACCGGTAGACAAGGCCACGGCGGCGAAAAAGAAGTTCAGGTATCAAATTCTGATCCTGACTTCACCAGAAATCGATGGCATTTTGAGTAAGCTACTGCGTACCATGGTATCGGTGTCTTTTCAGACCATGCTGCAAGCCAGCCCGAGGCTGCTTAAAGGACTTAGGCAGTTGCTAACACGTAAGCGCGTAGAGGTAGAGGAGGCCCCGGAACTGCAAGAGCAGGACACGGAAGAGGCCGAGGCGTCGCAAGGAGTCTCCAACCTCCAAAGCATCCCAGGGGGCCTGGAAGATTTGGAAAAAGTTTTTGCTGACATTCGTCTGAACCTGCCGAACCGAGAAGGTGGTGAAGTCATGAGAGCACCGCCTGACACTAAACTTAAGCTTTCACGCACTGCCCGTAGGAAAGCTTAAAATCCAGATCGGAACTCGCCACACCGATACATTAGTGGATGGCGGCGCGGAAATTACCCTCATACGACGGGATTTCGCAACAATCACCGGGTGCACAATAAACAAGGAAGTAGCAGGGAGTATCAGGGAAGCCGGTGGAGAAATCCACTTCCCTGGGTACGTCACCAAATGCGCGGTCAGGGCAGGAGTCCGGGAATCCATCTGGTCTTTCCAACGGATGACCGTCATGGAAGAAATGAACCATGACATAATCCTTGGGAGGTCATGGTGCGCCAATGTAGAAATGATTGGCATGCACTTGCATGACGGCGCGCACACGGGGAACTCCTCCAACTCCTCGGAACTGGAGGGGACCCTCCGAAGGGCAAATTGGCAACCTGGTCGCCAACATTCGAAGAAAGTGCACGGAAGGGGGCATTCGCGCGAATGGAAGGAATGAGGGAAAGGGTAGAAAATATGATTGAGGAGGCTTTTAGTAAAAATGAATGGATCAAGATGGGCTTGCCCGTAAAGAAGAGGAGGCCAGAGGACGAGTCCCTAGAAGTTATGGTGGCAGAAAAAGAGTCGGAAGTCGAACTTGGGGTCAGCCTGCCCAAACCAAAGGAAGGCCGGAACGAAACGTCGGAGGTAGTACTTAAAATCCCAGATTTATTACAGCTCGTTAAGGCCATCAGGTACCACAAAGTGGGGGTGGACCTCGCAGCGCTTGCCAGATTTGAGGATGGGGTTCGAAAGGGCTACTGTCTGAATGGGAAGCTAGTCAGCATCCAACCCCGCGTCTTGGAGGTAGCAAGGCCAATCCCGAGCGTTCATTTTTCAGGAGAACGATCCCTGAAGGTAGTGTACGAAAGTATAAAGCCGTAGGCAAGAAGGCCAAGCCGGTCTCGATCCTAGTAGAAACGTCAAAGGAAGAGGCCATGGAAAAGGAGGAGGAAATCTTGCGGGTAATAAGGGAGAGGCGAGCAACGGGAGGGCATCGCATACCAGAGGAGGTAGCAGATACCATGAAAATAGGAGTGGAAGGGTTTCTAACAGCGGAAAAAACTCAATTGATAAGAAAAGCATGTCAGGAGTTTCATTTAGTTTTCACCTTCAACGATCATCAGAAAGGACGATTGGACGCAAAGTTAGTTCCCCCTGTCAGGATTCACACCGTACAGCACGAGTGTTGGAATGATAAAGGGCCCCGCCTATGAGTTTGGGATAGCGGCAGAGGTCACTGACCTGCTTAGAGCCAAAATAGATTATTTCGTCGCTGAACCCACCGCATCTCCCTACGCGAACAAGTGGTTCGTGTTCAGGAAGCCCAATAAGACACTCAGGTGGATCCAGGACCTGCAGAAGCTTAATGCGGTAACAATTACGGATGCAGGCTCGCTTCCACAGGCCGAATTATTGGCAGAATCTCATGCAGGGCAGAGCATTTACTCCCTGGTAGACTTGTACTCAGGATATGATCAGTTGTCGCTCGATGCGAGGGATAGACCGTATACCGCAATGCATACCCCGATAGGACAGCTGCAGATGCAAGTGACCCCTATGGGCTTCACAAATGCAGTAGCAGAAGCTCAGAGGAGGATGCTCGCCGTCGCAGGGGATATGTTTTCGGAAAAGTGTGAACCTTACATAGATGATAATCTCGTGAAAGGCGCAAGATACAAAGATGAGACGGAAGTGCAACCGGGAGTGCGGAAGTTCGTCTGGGACCACTTGCAGGATATTAAGGACTTACTCCAGCGATTCCTAGTCTACAACATTACTGCAAGCGGACCCAAGAGCATCCTGACCGTCCCGGAAGTAACCATACTGGGATTTCGCTGTGGAACCTATGGGAGGAAACCCGATCCAGCAAAGACTGATAAGATCTCTCAGTGGCCGACACCCCTGCGTACCACGGCGGAAGTACGAGCCTTCCTAGGGGTGGTTGGGTTCTGGAGGATCTTCATCAAAGGTTTCGCAAAGATAGCAGAACCCATCCGCGCGATGATTAGGGAAGGTGGCACTATGGATTGGACCGAGGATAGGGAAGAGGCAGCCCAGACCCTGAAAGACATCCTGTCATCCGATCAGGTCACGTTAGCAGCACCCTGTTTCAATGACGAGGTAGGATGACCCTTCATCTTAGAAACAAACGGGGGACCATTGGCAGTAGGAGTATTGATACAGAGAAGCGAGGAGGGCAAGGAAAGACCAATCGGATTTGAAAGTAGGACCCTGAATTCAGCAGAACGATGGTATTCGTAGTTCAAGAAGGAGGTCTTAGCAATCCTGTATTGTCTTAAGACCTTACAGGCATACCTGTTCGGGAGGCGATTTATCCTAAGGATCGATCCCACCAACGTTGCCGGAGCCCGAAAGAACTACAAGCCCATAGACCCGACTGTTGGCAGATGGACAAGCTTCATATGGCAATTCGACTATAAGGTTGAGCGAATTGCAGGGCTTCGAAATAGGGCAGATGGGCTGAGCAGGGTTTGTATCACGCCAGAAGAAGTAGAGGACGTAGAACCAATTGACGACCTCCTGGAGTACGAAGGAGGGACCCTTGTCGTGGATAATGAGATGGCAGATCTGGCAATTACAACAGGACAGTTGTTGATTCAGACCTTGGAAAAGGGCGCACCTGCAGTAGTTGCAGAACTCAGGGAAGGACCAGTCACCACGGTTGGGCGTAAACAGGAAAAAAACTCGTGGGAAGCAGAAGTAGGGGCCAGAGAGGAATTGATGGCAATGACCGTGGAAGGGGGACGGGACGCCGTAATGACATTGGCCGAAACCTGGGTGCAGAAGGAGTGTCAGTACCTAGTCAACCTCACTCGGGAGGAACAGGGTGCGGATCAGAACGAACACGAATTCTTCCTCATACAAATGTATGAGTGTATGAGGGCGTTTTCAAAGAAATTGGTTTGCTGCTTGTAGGGAACAAACAACACACGAAAGTCAGTCCCAAGGCAAGGGAGGAAGTAGAAAAGAGCGTCCTAAGAAATGACCACCTGTTCAAGAGAGAGGGAGGGATGATGCCTAGATGCGTCGTTTGAGGGAGGTCTAGGCAGCTGGACATAATTCAGGCAATGCATGATGGGCTAGTTGGGGTCGTCAAAGGGGACTCTTGCAAAGATTGTGCCCCTGTATTTCTGGCCAGGAATAACAGGCATGGTCGCAACGTACTGTCAGACGTGTCTGATATGTCAAGAGAGGAACTCCGTACCGTTTTACGAGCCCCTTAGACCCACCCGGATACTGGGACCCGGACACCTTGTTCACCTCGATCTTGTCGTTATGCCCGTATTGACGGATGGGTTTAGATACATCTTGGATGCAAGGGATAATCTTAGTGGCTATGTAGAAGTCGTAGCCCTCAAGAGGAAGACAGGGAAAGCAGTGGCCGATTGGGTGGAAGATTTCTACCTAAGGCACCCTTTCGTGCGCAGGTTTATAGCAGACAATGAGACAGAATTCGTTAACCAGGAGGTGTTGAACAGGCTTAAGGCATTGTGTGTACCGATCAAGATCACCAAACCCTACCATCCTGAGGCAAATGCACCGGTAGAAAGAGGTCACCGGACTTTGAAGAACACAATCGCAAAGTTGGCAGCAGATAATTTGGGAAGTTGGCCACGGTTTCTCAAGCAGGCAGTCTTCGCCGAGAACATGACTCCAAAAAGAACAACGGGATGTATTCCAGCAGAGCTCTGGTATGGAAGGGAGATCGATTTTCCGATAGAAACTTTGGTCCCCACCTGGAACAGGCTAGATGACGCCCCACACTTGAGCACGAAAGAGTTAATCACCGCACGCTGTCAGCAGGTCGCCAGAAATGAGGAGACACTCGAGGAAGTAGTCAATCGTGTGACGGATAGCCGAATGAGGGATAAAGCAAGATGGGACCAGGTTAAGAACATTCGGAAGGAGCCACTCCAGGTGCGGGAAAAGGTGTTAGTTAGGAACTCGGCTCTTGAAAGCACATGGTCCGGGCAGCTGGGAAAAAGATGCAAAGGGCCCTACAGGATCGCTAAGCGGGTGGGACTGAACATATTTGAACTTGAGGATCTCGATGGTACTAACATAAGAGGGTCATTTCCTGGAGAGAGACTGGTCAGATTTTTTAGCAGGGATCCGGTGGAACAGTGGCTACAAGAGGCTCAGGACAGGGAAACAAGGGAATTGACAGCCTGAAAGGTAGGAAGTTGGCTATAAGTACTGGACCGCCTCCCTGTGGAAGTGATCATGACCACAGTGATTGTTCTTTTGTGTGTCTTGCTTTTGTGGAACGTGGGGAGACTGCCTGGGCTGACTGTGACGGGGCTTGGGAGCATGGGACAGTGTATTATAGTTTTTTCTGGGGTAACGTTGGGAACTGTCTGCACGAGGTATTTATGTGTTGGGACAATGTACCATAGTTTTTGTGGGGTGATGCTGTGGACTGCCTACATGGGGCACCTATGTGTTGGGGCAATGTGGCGAGGGTTCTAAGGGATAATGGGACTACCAACTACATGGGGGCAAACAAGAGTTCTACGGTAGCCTCCAAAGCTGCGAATGGGAGTGGAAGGGAATGCGTGTGTATGAGGGGTGTGATAACTGATATGCATGAACAGGACCAAGCAAGGAGCAAACAGCAAACGGCAAAATGGAGTTTGGAAATGAAAACGACAGCAACGCCATCAATAGGCCTACTGAGACTCCTTCCTCCTTGCCTAAGTAGGTGGCTATGGTAGACTAATTCACCGTTCTCTAATGTTTAAATGATAACTAAAAGATAATGTTCTCCTTCTACAATGGCTGTCATGCCTCACACTGCGAAGTCTTATTTGAAGAAACCAATTTAACCATGGTTTTCCAGATGCAGCGGCCCCAACGAAGATAAAGATGCAGAACACCAAAGCCATGTAACTACCACAACCACTCTCCTTGTTGCTCACTGTCTTCCTCTGCCTAGTCCTTCCCTCGACCCTCATCATTTGTCCTCTCCAGCATAGTAATGGCAGAGGGTCAAACACACCTTATTCCTCCTCACCGTTTCTCCAAAGTTAGTGCGCATATGAATACCTAGATGCCAAACTTTTCCAGTGCAGCGAGGAGTTT